CCAACTGGATATTTGACAGTATCTGGAGACATGCCTGGTTGTCCCACCTGGGGAAGCGCTTCTGGCATCTAGTGAGTAGGGGGTCAAGGGTGAGGCTAAACACCCTAGAGTGCACAGGATGGGCCCCCACAGCAGAGGGGTAGCTAGCCCCAATGTCAATAGTGATGAGGCTGAAGACCCTGATACATCTCCCACCCAAAATCTCTCTTACGTCCTCCCAACCAGGGTTCGCCGAGTTGTGTGCAGGGGAAGGTATGCACGCTACACGTGTGGACTAGGTGCCCTGCTGGGGGAGGAAACATCAGTGAAGCACTGGTTTACCTTTGTGCATATGGATGTATATTACATTTGTATAGTTGGCCTTAGTGTTGAGAAATAAGCTGACCTCATACCTAAAGGAAAACGTCCAGCCTCCACCCTGGCCAACAGGCCCTTTCACCAAGTAATTGCTACAGATTTGCCATCTACAGTCCCTGGCCTCTGATGTATCCTTTCTCATAATTTCAGCATATATATATGTGATATTATTCTTTATTTATTGCATACTAAATATATCCTAGTTGGATCACTTTATACAGCAATCAGTTGTTCTTTTGAACTGCATATATATATATATATATATACTTTTTTTTTTTTGCCGAAAACCTCAACCCATATGTATATTATATATTATGGTATCTGGTTAGTCTCCTGATAGTACGTAAACATTTTTAGTATCTCATACTCGAATGTTTGGGTCTTTGCTAAGTGAGAATCATTTCTCCCTTTTGTGAATTTGTCCATTTGTGTCCCCTTTGGCACTTTGTAACTGAATACAGGTGTCTCTGTAGTTTCTTAATACTGTAAACTCCTTGAGGTCACATCTGCATTGCATTTTCCTGGTACCAGGGTTTGCTCTTGATGTTCATTAAACATGAACTATAAGAACAATGTTAAAATTTCTGAAAAATGTAATTTATACATAATTTATACACAATTACCCTTCTGCCCCCTTTCCTTCATGATATTTACTTGACCATGTTTTACTCAGTGTTCAATGTACAGTTCTTACAGGTAGGAAAGATCAATTAATAAGTCATGAAAGGTGCATAGTGGAAGTTTCCCAGAACAGTTTTTTCATGCAGTCTCAAGCCAATATTTTACTGCCATTTGCTTTTCAAAAAGAAATGGATTTGAAATATGGACCCTTATTCATCTGACTCAAACCTCTGTGTTATCCAGGTAAATCAGCAGGACGCCAATCAGCGCAACAGGAGCTTTGGAGGAGGAGCCGAGAAATGCAGCCATGGGTGTGTGACCCTAAGCATGCCATGCACGTGAGTATTTCTGAGCTCCCACCCCCCATGTGAGAGGTTTGCGTGGCCAACATCTGTGACTATCCTGACCCTAACTGCTCATTTTGCACCCCTGACCTCACATCATACAGACTCTGCTTCATGGCTCACCTGCAGTCCTTTCCCACACACTAAATGATACCATCATTGCTTTAGGATTATGCTCAGAAAGCTGAGATCCATTTTATGACTCCTCTGCTTTCCTCACCCTCAACAGCAATCAACTAACAAATTTTGTTGATAGTGGTATTTCCAAAATATCTCTTAAAAACGTGCCCACTCCTCTCTCCCTGCTCTCATAAACTCAGCCTCCATCAGCTCTTGTTGGATGAGTCTAATAGTCTTGAACTCAGGTCATGAACTTTGAACCTTGGATTTGCATAGAGGTCTGTCTGGCTGCAAATTTTCCCTTTCCCCTTCCTCAAAGGAGACTTTCAGTCACAAAGGAAGCGTTTTATGTTCTGTAGGTTTAGCAATGAGAACCACTACTGAAATACACGTTTCCCAGTCTCCCAGCACCTTAAGATCTGAGAAAAAACAGTAACAACATACACCCCAAAATCTTACCTGCCTCATGAACCAGGAGTCTAGAACTACAGAGAAGACCTCCCTAAATTCCTAGTTTTACTTGATTCTCAACTCCTGCGTATGTGTGTTATTTCAGTTTATGAATAATCTTGCCATCATACACATACTGTGGCATCAATCCAAGCAGGAAATGTGGCCCTTCCTTTAATTTATGTTCCTGTGCACACATGGCATCTGTGTGTACAGGGGACTTTACTAAGGGCTGGTTAGGGAGGCAGAGAAGAGTCAAGGGCTATTTACCTCATGTCAACAAATACTTTAAACAAAATATCAAACATCCTTTTTCTTAGACACTCTCTGGCCACCCAACCATAGGGGATTTCTCTCTGGATGATTCACCCTTGTAGTCCTTCAGCCTCCTGCTCTAGGAAATCTATTCGTCTCTTCTTATGCAGAGGGGTTTAGCCACATCCTTTGTGTCTTAGCTCCTGCCCATACCCAGCCCTCAGGCATTCCATTTCACCTCAAATAGCTTACTCCGAAACAAGAAGGTTTCTCCTTCACTAGGGTTAAGACAATACATTATTATTCTCCCTTAGGGGGAACTAAAGACTTCAACTGAAGTTAAACATTTCTAATAATTTGAGCTTGATATTCACCCTGTAATTATTTATTGAGAACTTCTTGAAAGGTGGGCATCATTCTGTGGCTGGGGCACCATCAGTGTGCAAAAGCCAGGAAGAGTTCTCCATATATAGAGGGTACATTCTATAGATTGCCGAGTGCCCTTTGCTGTTAATGTGTAATTGCCCTGCAAAAAAGGCATTCAGTCCCATGAAATCACACCAAATAAGAATCTGACCTAGACTTGGGATGATGAAAGGCAGCCACAGCAGGTGAGGAGGGAGGTGGTTTTGGAGCAGTGGTGTGCTGCTAAGGTTTGACAATGGCTCTCGGGGGCAGTGGGAGGGGACAAGCCCTGATGGGTAGAATTGCCAGTTTCCATGTTGTAAATGTTCTCTGTGCGTTTGCTTTCAGACTCTCCATGTGTCTGAATGTGGAGCTGGGAAGACAAGTAGCTGCCCTTATACAGCATTTCCACCGCACAAAAATGACTGTAAGAGCATAGATATTGTGTGACCTCACTTCTTTGTGGAATTAAAAAAAACTGAACTCATAGAAACAGAGAGGTTACCAGGGGCTGGGGTGGCGGGTGGGTTATAAACATACAGGGAGAAGGATCCCAGCTCTGGATGGGACATGTCTTTTAAGTCCCTTTCAACTTTGAAATTCTATGACAATCAAAGGAAGACTGAGGTTTTTGAGGACAGATAGAAGAGGTGAGAACAGATGAATTGAGAACCTGGAAATGGTGCCTTGCACATTATAAGTAAATGTATAAATATACCAGCAACTTGAGGCCAAAAGAAAAGCCTTATCTTAAAAATAAGTAGCCACAGGAAGCAAAGCAAGTCAGGTGTCTTCTCTCTCCCTACCTCTTCAGGGGCTCCTATTTTTGAAACATCACTTCCTCAAAGTGTCAGACAATTATATCTGCTAATGTATTTTTTGCAGACATGATCCTAAAAAGGATAATATGAATTATTTATGCCATTCCCTCCTGCTGGGGGTGACTAGGATGCTGCAAAATTTCATTTTGGGAAATTCCTTGTGCAAGAGATTTCAGAGAGCACAACTTGAGATCAGGAAAATTGATGAATCGCCTCAAACAGGAGAGAAAATCATCTGCCAGAGAGCTCCTCTTATTTATGGCTGTGGCTGTGGCTTGCTCTTCTATGACCCCGAAGGTCCTCCAGGTTTTAGCCACAGCTACCTGACCCCACAACTGTCAGTCTCAGGGTGCCTCTGCCACCATCTGCCCTGATTTCCCCCAGTGCAGGAGCTCTGAAACCAGCAGGGGCCCTGCACGCCCATGCAGCCCTTACACTCCTGACAGCAGTCACCTTCTCCCCTCCACTGGCCACTCTGAGCAAGGCCCTGTCAGTCCTGGCTGGCATCAGCCTGAAGGTAAATAGCTTTGGAGACAGTCAAATTCCTGCTTCATTATATAATAATGATGCGACTCTGGGTAAACCAGGGAAGCTCTCTGGGCCTCTGTTTTCTTATCTATAAAGTGGGGATTAGAGTACTCCCCATTTTTTCCCTGGGTTAGGGGTTGAGAAAAATGACTGTATCCAGGTTGCTAGCACAGTCAATGAATCATGACATATTACTTTCCATGATTATTATTTTTATCTGCTGTCCAAACTGCCCTTCATCTCTGTGTTTTTTGAAAGATCCATTCATTTACTCATTTATTCAGGGTATCTGTTTCTTGCCAGGCACCATGTCATCCATGTTCTCTTCCTGGGCCCCAAATTTATAAGAGCCATTTATTCAATGCCTATGTCCAGAGACCCCCTTCATTGCTCTTCAGAGAATATTAGCTGAGTGTTAGAGATCCACAAAGAATGCATAGAGCTGTCCCTGGGCATAGAGGGCTGACATTCCTGCAGGTCCACTGTACGTGGGTGACGTTCTCCTGAGTAGTCGGTTCTGTGCGCGTGGTGCCAACGCTTACTTCCTAAAGTGCCATTTTCAAGTTAGTCTATAACTTTCACTACTAGCCCATTAGATGAACATATTCTCTTCCTTTTTGTAAGGAGTGATAATAAGGGAAGGAGACAGGCTGTTACTCAATAAGCATCTACATGCCTCTGCCTGCAGTGGGGTTTTACAGGCATTATCTCAGTTCCTTCCTAGAACAACCATGTGAAGATATGTCGTCCACCTAGTTTTGAACCTAAGCTAGCTGAAGGTCAGAGGAATTAAGGAACTTGCCCGCAACCCGAGGTTGTGCAGAGTTTGAACCAACCTGACACCAAAGCCTAACCATTTTGCTGTGAGCAACATCATCCACCAGTAATTCTGGTTTGGAGTTAACACTGCTCACCTTTCAGAACATTATAGCAAAAAACAGTAACTGTCTGTCTGTCAGGTGAGGGGTCCTGACATCCCTCAGCCCCAATTTTCCCTCCTCTTTATTCAGGGTCCCCCTGTATGGGGACCAGTCTATTGACAATTTTGTCCTTTTCATAGTTAGGGTAGCTTAACCGAAGAAAAGTTTAATGGACTCACCATTGAAAGCACAGCAACGTCACAAGAAATATGGCTAAATGGCTTGCAGCTGCATTCACCATGCGTCTTCTGGATTATGGCCAAATCCCAGTTGTCACGGGAAACAGAACCACTGGATTTTCTTCACTGTCAAAGTGTTTGGTGTCAGTGCTTGTTCAGAAAGCTCATCCTTTTCTGTGTCCCCTGTAAGGATCTTGGTCTGTAATTATCTTGGTCTATTTAGTGGGTACAGTGGTCAAGGAGAACAAATCAGGTGGAAGTCCCTGCCAGCTACTCACAAGGACACGAAGTTGCTAGTGGGAGCCTGGGGTCTGCTGGCTCTGGGACAAAGAAGGTGAGCCGGCCCAAGGTGGGGCCAAGCGCTTGGCAAACACCTGCTGTTGACATCAAACAGTTGCCTGTTCCCGTGGTGTTGTGGTGTTCTTGCCTTATATGCATAAACCCCAAGCTCAGGGAACTCAAGTCTCCTGTTCCCCCAAACCAGGAACCTTCTTTCCGACAGTAAAGGTAGCAAGTGTGCACTTCTTTTCCTGCTCGCTTTGTCAGCACTCTGCGCATGATTGCCATGCTGATCTTTCATTGTGTATGTTGCAAATATCTTTTCCCAGGATAAGGCTTGCTTTCTCGCTGTTCCCATGGAGTCTTTTGATGAATGGAGGCTCATCTTCTATTTCGTATTGATTTGCAGTGGTTGCCTGGAGCATTGCTTTACAGAGAATTCTGAGACTGTGGGCAAGAGCAGCGTGATCTGTCAAGGGTGCCTGACAGCCCGGAGGGTCCCCAGGACTGTCCCTTCCTAGCCCTGGAATAAGCTGGTTAAATAGTCAAATGCTTTCACTCCATGTTTCTACCAGGGCGCCCACTGACCGGACTCTGGGGATGGAGGAACAGAATAATAAAAATTCATGAAAGGAGCAGGGCTAGTATTAGTAGATAGTGGAAACACACACCTTCTCTCTCCAGAAGATGGGCAGATTTCACCTTCTTGGTGGAGGTGACGTAGGCTCTCGGGTTGAAGGATGAATAAGAGTTGAACGAGTAGGACAGAAAACATCTCAAGAAATGTAAGTGGGAAGTGGGACGAACAGAACGGTATTCGCAGGGAAGTCCGAGCAGTCAGGTGGCCATGGATTCTCACAGGTGCAGCAGATGGTGGCAAGACCTGAGGCTGGGGGCAGGGCGGGGGTCCACGCCATCATGGACACACCCACTGTGTTAATCGACCGAGACTTTATCCTGCAGGTGTATCAGGCCCCAGTCCTGACTGTTAGTTGGTATCAGGGCCCAAATATGTAAGATGACAAAATAAGGCTCAAGAGATGGACAGAATAATAGGATTAGAAGGCTAGTAAAAGCTTAGAAATAAGCAGATGCCAGGTCTTTGAAAGTTGAGGATAATGAGAGTAAAGGGTAATTAGTAGGGTCTCAGGCCCAGGGATTGGGGTAGTGCTCCAGTTCTCAATCTTGGATTTCGCAGGGGAAGTGGAAGAGATGGGAGCTTGGGACCAGTGGCAGGTCCTCACATGGGCAGTTGGCCTTGTCAATGACCAGGAAGCCTCTTCCCAGATCCCAGGCAGAAGGTCAGAGGCTGCCGGGGCAGAGCTGCCCTGACATTCAGGACTTCTAGCTCATGAGCTGCTTGCAGCCTTTGCAGAGCAACGGGGCACAGGCTGTACCAGGGGACAGACCTGGGTTTAAGTCTCCACTGGGCCCTCTGTGAGTATGGGGTCCGGAACGAAGTGACTCTTTCGTGAGAGGCCAAAGCAGCCCTGGCCTGTCAAACCAGTTCACTGTGGAGCCTGGTGAGCAGAGACGGTCCAGCAGCCCTCCTTGTGGCAGGGTGGCAGCTCAGGGGTGCCTGTGGGGTCTGCCTGACCCTGCCCTCTGCCTCCACCTCCTCCCCACAGCCAGAACCCCTAGAATTGAACCTAAACCACTCCTAGATTCACTAGTCTTGTGAGCTGGACTCTGCTGCAGTTTGGTGAACCTAATGACTGTCCCATGTCCCAGCCTATGCCAGTCCTCATAGAAAGGGCTCATTGCCCAGTTGAGTGACCTTGGTGAAGTGCTGGGGACTCTCGAAGCACCTACTTCTTTATCTTCAAAACAAATAATCCCAACTTCATGGAGTTGATATGTCATTTTCTTAGGAGTACTGGTGAAATGTACACACTACCCCTTAAATGTTTTTGCTAAGCGCTTCACAAATGTGATGGGCACTATGACGACAAAGATGGTAGTCACGGTGTATGACCACCTCTTGCTCTGAGTTATATACCTGGTTGCTTTACTAGTCCACTTGCCCCAGGGAGAGAAAAGCAGGTGTGTGGGCTTGCAAAGGGTGGGGGGGCACATATAAATGGAAGCATTCAACACAGAATGGGCAGAGGGGTCTAGCTAGAGAAAGAGACAGTAGCCAAATTAAGTATATTTTCATTTAAATATTCAATGGCTTTTTTGTGGCTTCAGGAGAAAAGGAATTATGTGATTATTATGCAAAAATATATGCAAATAAAGGAACTATTGTAAAGAGCAGAGACAAGCCCGGTGCGCAGGGAGTTAATATCATTTCATTAAATACAAGACCCCCATAGTTTGGGTTTGAAAACTTCCGTCTGCCTTTCTTCCAGCCGTCTTACTTTGTCTTTCTCTTTGCCTCTGTATAGATCTTTTACATTTCACATACTGAATTTTATTGTAATTTTCTGTTTATCTGTGTTGCTCACAGGACAATGAACCTTAGGAGGTGGGGACAATGTGTGTAATTTTACCTTTGTTCCTTGGGGATCTTTGCGCTTGTGAAAAGAATGAGAACAGACCATAGTCAAAACTCTGATATAGGATTTGTACACTGTTCTCAAAGGACACACAGAAGAGTGTAGTTTCTTGGAAAAGGGTTGAAAAGGAGTCAAGCAAACTGAGATTGTGTGCAGCAGGAAGAAATCCGCAATGCCTCATCAATAGTATTGGTTGGGCGGACAAGAAAGCCTTCTCACCAACAATATGTGAGCAGAATAGAAGCAGGAGAGAGACCCCTCAGGAATAATGGAGACTGGCTGAGACAGGACTGCCAAAGGCTAGGTTATTGAGCCACTATTTTTAAAGCTGCCTTTGAAAAGAAACTGGAACGGAAAAAAAAAGAATTTGTGCAATTAGAATGTACGTTTCTTTTGTGTTCTTATCTGCTTCTCTCATAAGCTATTTTTGGTAAGTTTGCATTAACTTTCTAACAAAACGCCAATTAAAGCAACTTTTAATAGGCTGTGTTTAAAGACCGAATCCAAAGAGGAACGTGGGTTAGATCTGCACGCCAGTGTAGAAACCAGATTCTTAATCCTACTTGGATAATAACTGAAATCCTCTGCTGTTTTCACCTGGGAGACAACATATTAAATGGAAAAGCAAACTCTCCAAGTGGTGATAAGGAATACGTATGTCCAGTGCTGGAGAGACTTTCTTCCTTTGTTTTCTTTTATCTTTCTCTCTTTTTCCCCACTGGTTCCTCTCTTAACACTGGCTTGTTCTCCAGATAGTGTCAGATGACACCCCAGCATTCATGTTTATGCAATAAACCGACAATCCGCTCCAGTCTGTGTTGACAGTCTGAATGCCCTAGGTGACGTCAGCAGTCGCCTCGTTCTGGGAATGCGGCCTCCCCGTGCTGCCGCGCTGACATGTGGACGGCAGGTGTGCTGGGCAGAGTTCCAGTTTTGTTCATGACTCCTGTTGAAACACAATTCCCAAGGGGAACCAAAGAATTAGTTGGTCCTACACACACCTTCCCGGAGTGACTGCATTCTGATTTCTGTTTTATATCTCCACATCGCGGTGGCTTCTGTTCTCTCTGCATTCTCTCTCCTCTCTCCCTTGACTGTTTAATTCCCATCCATCCAGTGAGTCTCCTTCAGGCCTCACTCACCCAGCTGAGCCCCGCGGAACCCGTGCTCCCTGGCTTATAGCATTTAGCCCACTGAATTGTCACTGTGGTCACTCATCAGTGTCCCTCCGTAAGCTAACTGAGGGTGGGTCTTTACGTTACTGGCTACGATATCCCTACTAACAGAGGGACTGACCGATACCATCAACTTGCAGTGTATGCCTGTAACGTGAAGGTTTAAAAATTGATGGGTAGATACCTACTACATAGCTTGCAGATAGACATGGGTGACAGATGCTGGACGGGTATGGACAGGATAATGGCTGGAGGGATAGGCAGGCAGATGGACGATAGGTGCTTAAGAAAGATGGGGCTCAGAGGAGGCGGATGCCATGAGGCAAAGCCAGCATTACTCTCCTGTCACGTTTCCTTCTTCATGATCTTTCCATTCAGTTCTCTGGAAATTCCAATGTGCTGTCCCATTGTCCATCTTCTTTCCATTGAATTGGTTAGTTTCCTTCTCCACTTCTTGTCTGAAAAGTAGGTGGTAGAGTGATTTTTTGTTGTAGTGGAATGTATCAGCACTCATTTTTCAAGGTCACCCACAACGGATTTCATTTCCTTTTCAGCTTGTATAAAAAACAAAACAAAACATTTGTACCAATCATACCTGATAAAACCTGGATTAAGTATGCAGGTGGTAGGAGTCCATCTACTTTACAAATAAGGACACTAAGATGAGCTTCCTCCGTGGGAGTCTCCTTTAGTCCCAGTAGGGCTTGAAGGGTGGCCGCTCTCTTGCCCTCATGTCTTTCCTGCTAAATGAAATCAAATGGATGGATAAAGGATGCTGTCAAGAGGAAGTTCTCTGATTCCCTGGCTTATATACTGAATGATTCATGTGAAGAACTCATGCTTATGTCTGACTTCCATGGAGAAATTTTGGGTGGCCACATTTGATAGGGAAAATCTCCATCCTGCGGAGCTGAACACAATGCCCAGGGCCAGAAGGCAGTCCTGTTTCCTATAATGGTGATTTGTGGGTTCTGATACAGGGCTGACATGGAGGTTCCGGCCCTTCCTCTCACAGTAGCTACCTTGGTGATCAGGTATGGAATTCAGGGCAATGACATACACCACAGGACTGGAGGGCAGCTCCCAGCGTTAGTACAGCTGAGCCCCTGGGAGGTGAAGGATGATTTTCATTCTCAAATCTCCACTGATTTTCCTTCCGAGTATTCGTCTTGCCAATGGGTTTCAGCCCCAGGCAATTTCTCTATGGATTCAATGTGACCAAAGAAATTGACAGCAAAACATTCTTTGGGGTGAAAGGCTTGTTCTCCCGGTGGTAGGTCGAGCACTAGCGTCTCTGCCTCCGCCCGGAGCACTGGGCTGAGCGCCCTATATAGCGCAATAATAGCTTATT